AAATGGGCCCACTGGGCTGACTTCCACATGCTTTCTTTTCCAAGAAGCAATTTACTTGAAGTCCTGCCTGGCTTAAATGGTTAGAATATGTCACATTTCTCAACAAACTATTTGCAGCAGAAATGTCAATAAGAGGAACACAAGTTACCCTAAAGGGGGAGACTTTTGTGACCTTCACAAAGACCAGAACACAGAATTCAGGGAAATAAGGATAATTCCCCCTAATCATAAAACCCTTAAGAACAAGCTGGGTGTGGTGGCATAAACCTGCAATCACAGTGGCTTGGGAGGCAGGGACAGGAGGATAGCAAGTGCAAAGCCAGCCTGAGCTTTAAAAGCGAGGCGCTAAGCAACTCATTGAGACCCTGTCTCTAAATAAAATACATAAAAAGACTGGGGATGTGGCTCAGGGGTCAAGTGCCCCTTGAGTTCAAACCCCAATACACCTTCCCCACCAAATTTGTAAGAACAAGTTCCAATTAGAACCAGTTAGTATGAGCCAAAGGAACCCAGAATAGTCAAGGCAATGAGTATGCTGTCCTCTGCCGTCAGTTAAAAGTCAAGAGGTGACTCTGGATTTTCCTGGGGCTCCCATAAAACTGGAGGGAAGGAAGGCACACTTCTGAGAAAACCCATTTTCTCCCTTCAGAGTATTCCCTTTTCCATCCCTTCTAATAAACTCATGCCAATTACGAATACTAAGCAACATTTCTAAAATATTTGACTTGATTGCATGACTCAGTGTTTGAAGGAGGGACTCTCCACTGCCTTAGTTTCCTGGAAGGCCCCAGCCCTGTAACACTGTCACCAAAGTTAAACACAGTCCATGTTTCTTCATTTTCTGAGGAGACTAAGGGAGGACAGTATAAAGAGGATAGGCCTGGACACTGTTTTTTGTTCTGTTTTGCTTAAGTTGATTCTCTTGGATTTCATTTCATAATTATATTATTTACACACAATTTTTCTTCCTTTCTCATTTTATGCCGCTTATTTATTGTTTGTGTTTTATTGATCAGAATTTCCAATACATACAAATAGTAGGGTCAGCCATTATTCTTTTTGGTTTTGTTTTGTTGCCACTGCTACTGCTGTTGTCTTTTGAGACTGGATCTTGCCATGTTGCCCAGGGGGCCTTGAACTCCTGGGCTCAAGTGATCTATATTAGCATTCTAATGCTTCAATGCTAATTGATACCCTTTATCAAGCTGAAAAACTAACCTTTCAGTTTAGTAACAATTTTGTTTTTACTAAATCATGAATTGAAAATGTACAATTTTATTAATTTTATAACTAGCTTTTATTATTATTGCCTTTTGGTTTCCCTTCATTAATCTGTTAATATAGTAAATGCTAAAGATAACCCTCCCCAACAATGATCTATTTTTACAGTCCTAGGAGAAATTTTACCAGACCATTAATTCATTCAAAGTAGGAGTTATTTTATTTATAAATTCAATAGCTACATTCATAATATTGTTTTCTCACACTGTTTTTGTCAAATTTTGGAACCAGAGTTATACTAACATAAATAAATGATAATCCTATCTTTTCTGTGTCCTAAGGTTAATTGTCAGTGGCAACTATTACTTTAAGCTACTTTAAGAACTTTCTTATAAAATCATCTAGTGCTTTGTGGGGAAGCAGAGGGATCTTTTACTATATTCACTATATTTTTCTATGGTTATCAGTTTATTCTACTAGTGTACTTCTTGGGGGGCAATCTTGGTTATTTCCAAGCTTTCAAGTACACCATATTCATTTATAATTCTGAAATATTTTTCCTATTTTTAATTATGTCTCATTTCCAATGTGCCCTCTCCCAAAAACAAAAGACAACCTCCTCCGCTATTACCAGACAACCTTAAAATAGTACATTAGATGATCCTTCATTGACATAATATTATCACTTAAAATCCAGTTTACATTAGGATTCATATTTGGTGTTCCATGTTCCATGAGTTTGGAGAAATGTATAAGGACATGTATTCTCTATTACAATATCATAAAAATAACTATTTTTAATTGCCGTAAAAAACACCTGCACTCCAATTGCTCATCTCTCCCTCTCCCTTAACTCCTAGAAACCACTATTCCTTCTCCTCTCTCCAGTTGTTTTTTAATTAATTTATTTATTTTAATTAGGTATGTATGACAGCAGAATGCATTTTGATTCATTATACACAACTGCAGTACAACTTTTCATTTCTCTGGTTGTACACGAGGTAGCATCACACCACATGTGCAATCATACATGTACCTAGGGTAATAATGCCCATCTCATTCTACCATTTCCTGCCACCGTGTTCCCTTACCACCCCTCCCGCCCCTTTGCCCCATCAAAGTTCCTCCATTTTTCCCATTCCCCCCGGCCCATTATGGATCAGCATCTACTTATCAGAGAGAACATTCAATCTTTGGCTTTTTGGGATTGGCTTACTTCACTTAGCATGATATTCTTCAACTCCATCAATTTTAATGCTGAGTAACAGTGTCTCCAGTTTTGATTTTTCAAAATGTCACATAGTTGGAATCATACAGTACATAGTCATTTCAGATTGACTTCTTTCACTTAGTATAACATGCATTTCTGATTTCTCCACTATTTTTAATTGCCTGACGCTCATTTCCTTTTAGCACTGATTAATATTCCACTTTTAAAATTTTTTTCAGTTGTTGATGATCTTTCATTTATTTATATGCAGTGCTGTGAATCGAACCCAGTGCCTCACACATACTCAGCAAGCGCTCTACCACTGAGCCACAACCTCATCCCTTAATATTCCATTTCTGAATGTACCACACTTTACTCATCCATTCACCTACTAAAGGACATCTTGGTTGCTTCCATATTTTGGCAATTATGAATAAAGCTTCTTTGAATGTCCACATACAGGTTTTTGTGTGGACTGAACTTTTCAGCTCATTTGGGTACACATCAAGTAGCACAACTGCTAGATCGTATGGTACCAGTACATTTTCTTACAATAAACTGCAACAGTCTTCCAAAGTGGCTGTGCTATTCTGCATTCCCACCAGCAAGGAATGAAAGTTCCTGTTAGTCTACATTCTCATCTGCATATGGTATTGGCAGTGTTTTGGGTTTCTGCCATTCTAATAGATGCAAATATTTTCTCCTAGTCTATGGCTTTTCTTGTCATTCTCTTAATGTTCCCCTTTTAAAATCTACTGCAGAGATTTTTCTGTTTAATGTATTTTTTGTTCTCTATTTCATTAATGTTTGCTTTTATCTAATCTACTTAGGACTTATTTTTCTCACCCCTTGATTCAAAGGATTGGTTCTACTTCTTCTTCATTCTATTTTTTAACAAAGACACTTAAGACTATAAATTTCACGGTATCCGTTCAGGTGCTTCTCTCATTTGTATGTTCATTATTTAGTTCTAATTATTTTAGTTAATATAACAAGGTGGACAAATTAATATACAAAGAAAATAAACTGCTCCCACAAACCAAGAATAAAGTTAATAGAATATCTTGGATTATTGCTGAAATAATTCAAGATGGTTAAAGAGAACCCAAGAAGGAAAGTGAATTAATTTAAAAAAAATCTGAGGAACTTTAACCATACAGAATATAAATATGACAAGTACAGAAGTAGTATTTTGAAAAAAAAGAGGCTGCAAGTGACTAACAATTTCAAAAAGCATCAAGAGAATGGAAGAAAGGCACACTGAATAAAATAACAATTAAGAATCTTTCAAAATAACAACATGAGATCTCTGGTTTAAAAAGGCCCAGTAGTTGTATCTTCAAAACTCACATCTAAAAATATTACAGTCTATTTCAGAACATTTAGGAATTTCTCTTATAACACTCTTATTTTACCACATATGAAACTGGACTTACTTTGAGATACATTCTAAAGGGGAAAAAACAAGAAACAAACTGCACACCTCCCCAGGAGGATACATAAATAATTAAAAAAGCTTTACCATAAATGAAAATTTAAATTACCATCAGTTTACCATACTGAAAGGGGAAGAAGGCAGAGGAGGAAGAGATACTATAGTTTTGTCTTGTGCAGGGGATGGATATGAATACTAGAAATATTGTTATAAACTTAGTTTTAAATAGTATGTACAAATTAAAAGGATAACTACTAGAAAAACTGAAATAAAATAATACTTTGAATAGAGAAAAGTAAAATTTGATGAAGCAAACAAAATACCCAAGTAGAAGATATAGTAAATCTTAAAATGGCAGTAACATATATAACTTTAGCATAAAATACTGATGCGTTATTAATCTCAGCTATGAAAAGGTATACTTATAGAGTGTTTTTGTTGTTTTTTGTTTGTTTGTTCATTCAGGGGCATGGGGGCATCGTACTGGGGAGTGAATCTAGGGCACTGAGCAAACACACTACCACTGAGCTATATCCCCCCAGCCCTAGTTTTGGGGGTTGTATTTTTAATCACCAATATGTTGATTACAAAAGATACACCTGAGGCCAAATAATCCAGGAAGACTGAATTTTTTTTTAAAGTATCAAAAACTTAAAAAAAAAAAAAGTGTGGCAATGTTACAATATGAAAATTAGTGAATGAGACAAAAAGATATTGCATAACTGGAATCAAACCCAGACCCTTACATATGCTAGGCAAGTAAGTGTTTTGCCACTGAATTATACACTTCTAGCAAGTGCTTTGCCACTGAACTACGTGCTTCTAGCATTTCAATACAGTACTTAAAAGATTCAATTATAAATCCTGAGGTACCCAAGTCATTTTCTTCAGAAACACAAAAACACAAAAATTACAAGGTAAAACCAAAAACAGTTCACAACTTGCATAAGTTTTCCAAAAGCCTCTTATCTTCTAATTCATACTTACCATGTTTAATCACAATATTTAATTGAAAAATGCTTACAGCTCTGTTACAGGATAAAATTCAGAATGTGTTTAAGATAAATATATTAATATAAGACAAATTCTGAGCCAACCTAGTCTACCAAAGGAGTTTCAAATATAACAATGAAAACTCCTTTTCAGTTCATAAGCATGATGATTGGATTTTTCAAGCTGTTGTGGGAAGTGTGCCTCCCTCTAAATCTTTCTGCAACATCAGCACAGTATCCAACATGGATCCCACCATCACTAAAACCACACTCTTTTCCTAATAAAGATATCATAAATAAGCCTAAAAGTAAATGATACCAAAATTAAGAAACACTACTAACTTCAGATAAAATTCTGAAGCAGTCACACCTGATGCATCAATCTGGTCTAGGTAGACAAAATTCCAACTGACAGTAGTACTTCCCATTTCATCCTATCTCACACTAGTAAAAAAAGGGAGCTGAGACTTATTTCAACAAGCTTTAGTCTTGGGCCACTCTAACCAGCAGCTCAAAGGGCAATACAAAAACAGGAAGGGGTTAACAACCCCTCAGACACTTGCTCATTAAAAATCGTGTGTGTTCTTGCTGTGTTGATGGGTTCATGGACACATGTATGTATTTGTTCCTTTTTTTCTCATTCTTAGTATTTATTAACTGTAGTTATTTTTCCTTATCTTGTCTTTTGAGAGTTATTTGGTCTTGGTGTATATATTTTACTTTTTGCTTTGTATTGCTTTCATTTGTTTCTCTGGTTTCCCTTTCTCTCTTTTCTTTTCCTGCTAACACCCAAACTTTGTTTTCTTTCTCCCTTTATTTTCTACTCCTTCCTTGTAACCATCACCTGCTACATCTTTTCTCCATTCTCTCTGTTCACTTTTTCAAACTATAAACTCTTCTGTCTTTCTATCATATTTCCTTATATTAACTATATTTCTAAGACCTTTTAGGAATAATTGGTTTATGTAACTCCTGCCCCCATCATTAATGTTGGTGAAGTTATTACTGTGGTGGCTGGCATAACTGACTTCTGTTTGCTTTAATGCCAGAACTACTTTATGTGTGGGTTTTTTGTTGTTGTGGTTTTTTGATTGATTGTTTGTTTTGCTGTTGGTAATTGCTGACTCTACCATTTCTGGGGTTTGTGGCTTAAAATCATTGTAGATATCATAGTAGGAATCAGATCATTTACTTTAATGCTATATATTGTTTGCATCAGTTGTTGCTATTATTTATTTTGCCCTTTCCATGAGGTCCTGGGAACTTACAGGAAACGCTACAAGTTCACGGGTAGAGAGTCTGCTGCTGAACTTTAACTCAACCAAAATGCTTTAGTTGCACTTTGCTCCACACACAAATTAATGACACTCAAACTTCAGCTGCACTTTAACACAAAGAATATAAGAGACAAAATCCCAAGCTAAGGACCAGGCCCCATGTAGAAATGGCTACAGCAAAAAGAGAAAATTAACACAAAGATTTTGAATACCACAGGTACAAGGGAGGTTGGTTCTCAATCTAGATCACTCTAGGACATTTTGACAACTAAACACTGTGCCCTAAAAAGGCCCACACATAAAAGTAGATGCATAAAACTCAACACAGAAAAATACAAGAAATAGGAAAAAAAAACAAGGCTATGTAACATCTCTTTAATAAAAAATATATTTTTTAGTTCTAGATAGACACAATACCTTTATTTTACTTATTTGTTTATTTTTATATGGTGCTAAGGATCAAACCCAGCACCTCACATATCCTAGGCAAGCGCTCTGTCACTGAACTACAACCCCAGCCATATTCAACACCTTTTAAGGTCCATAATTCACCAGCAACTGACCCCAAAATTTTTGAAGTAGATAAAATATCACATGAAGAATTCAAAAGAATCATTATAAAAATGACAATGAATTCCAAGGAACATAGAAAAGAATGGAATGAATTAAGGAAGACAGTACAGGATATAAATGAGAAATTCGATAATGAGATGAATACTGAAAAAGAAACCAAACAAAGCTTGGAAATGAAAGACACAATAAAATCAAATAAAATATTCAGTTGAAAACCTCTCTAATAGAGTACACCATGCTGAAGACAGAATCTCAGAGCTGGAAGACCATGTAGCCATCCTTGAATATTCAGACAACATGAAAGAAAATAAGGGGCTAGGGTTGTAGCTTGATGGTAGAGCACTTGCATGGCATGTGTGAGGTGCTGGGTTCAATTCTCAGCACCATAAATAAATACACACACAAGAAAATAAGTAACCATGATTATACAAGAACTTTGGAACAACATTAAGAGACCAAATTTAAGAATCACTAGAATTGAGGAGAGGTATGAGAAGTAGGCTAGTGGGACAGATAACCTCTTCAGGGAAATAATTACAGAAAAAGTTTCAAAGCATCAGAATGAGACACCCAGGAACAGGAAGAATTCAGAACCCCAAATAGATAAAATCAAAAAAGAACCTCTCCACAACACATCATAATTAAAATGCCTAACATACAGAGCAAGGATAGAATTTTAGAAGTTTCAAGAGAAAAAAGTTGGAAAATATTTAGAGGCAAGCCAATCAGAATCACTTCTGATTCCTCAGCACAAATTCCAAAAGCCAGGAGGGCTTGGAATGATGTGTTCCAAGTTCTGAAAGAAAGTAACTGTCAACAACCAAGACTGCTGATCCAGAAAAAGGTATCCTTCCAAATCAAAGGTGAAATAAAAACCTTCCAAGACAAGTAGAAACTAAAGGAACTGATGACTACTAAACCAGCTCCATAGAACTTAACTAATGAGAAACGGGATCAAATTAAACATGATCAACAGCATGAATTAATAAACATCTCTCTGTAATAACATTAAATGTAAATGGTTTCAACACTCCAATTAAAGACACAGGCTAGGAGCTGGGGTTGTGGCTCAGCAGTAGAGTGCTCGCCTAGCATGCACAAGGCCTACCTAGGTTCAATCCTCAGCACCACATAAAAATAAATAAGTAAAATAAAGGTATTGTGTCCAACTACAACTAAAAAATAATTTTTTAAATAATAAAAAAAAAGACACAAGCTAGCAGGATGGATTAAAACAAAACCCAACTTTATGCTATTTGCAAGAGATGCACTTAATAGGCAAAGATAGCCACAGGCTGAAAGTGAAAGGATGGAAATTGATATACCACACAAATGGTATATCTGAATCAAGATCACATAGAAAACCTAAGCAGACTTGTAATGAGATAGCAACGGTAACAAAAAGCCTTCCAACAAAGAAAAGTCCAGGACCAGATGGATTCTCAGCTGAATTCTACAAAACCTTAAAGAAGAACCAATGTCAATACCCCTCAAACTGTTCTGCACAGCAAAGGAAACAATTAGGAATAAGAAAACACAACTTACAGAATGGGAGAAAATCTTTGCTAGCTTCTCTTCTGACAGAGGATTAGTATCCAAAATACATAAAGAACTCAAAAACCTTAACACTGGGACTAAGGTTGTGGCTCAGTGGTAGAGCGCTTGCCTAGCATGTGTGGGGCAATGGGTTTGATTCTCAGCACCACATATAAATAAATAAATAAAGATCCATTAACAAATTAAAAAAAAGTATCACCACAAAAATCAAATAACCCAATCAATAAATGGACAAATTTGGGGCTGGGGATATAGCTCAGATGATAGAGTGCTTGCCTTGCATGCACAAGGCCCTAGATTCAATCCCCAGCACCACAAAAAAGTAAATAAATTAATTAGAAATTCGGCAAATTAATATTAAAACAGACACTTCTCAAAAATTTGAAATACAAACAGCCACAAATGTATGAAAAATGTTCAAAATCATTAGCAGTTACAGAAATGAAAATCAAAACTACAGTGAAATTTTATCTCACCCCAGTTAGAATGGCAATCATCAAGATTACAAACAATAATAAATGCTGGATAGGATGTGAAGAAAAAGGAACACCTTTATACTGTTGGTGGGATTGTAAATTAGTACAACCACTATGGAAATCAGTATGGAGGTTTCTCAGAAGAATAGACATGGAACTACCATATGGCCCAGCTGTATCATTACTCAATATTTATACTTATATAAAATTAATATCATTACACTATAGTGATACATGCACACGTAAAATTCACAACAGTCAAATTATGAAACTGCCTATGTGTGAATGGATAAGGAAAAGGGGTTGTGTACATATACACAATGGAGTTTATTCAGCCATATGAAATTATGTCATCTGCAGAAAAGTTGATGAAATTAAGAGACCATTATGTTGAGCAAAAAAAAGTCAAATTCAGGAAGTCAAGGGTTGTATCTTTTCTCCCATATGTAAAAGCTAGAGAGGAAAAAGGAAAAAGGGGTGGGAGTGGGTTAAGAATCTTATGAAAACCAAAGGGAGATTAATAAGGAAAGGGGCCAAGAAGTAAGGGATGGGGAAATAGGGAAGCAGCACTGAAGAGTGATATTGGCCTAATTATATTGCTACATTGTGTGCATGGACCGTCACTATAGTGCTCCAATAAAAAAACATCTGGGGGTATATAGTTCAGTGGTAGAGCACTTGCCTAGCATGGGTAAGGCCCTAGGTTCAATTCCTAGCACAGATTTTTTTTTTAAATCTCACTAGTCCTTCATGAATCCTGGTCAAGCTGTTTATAATATATGCTTTGGAATCCAATAAATCTTTCGGAAAATAGAAAAAAGGAACACTTTTATACTGCTGCTAATTAAATCCCTGTGTTATAAACGGAGATCACTTAAGTTCTAAACCTTAGTCTTCATATCAATTAAGTAGCGATAATAAAACTATCTGGAGGATAAACTCTAATAATGCCCCACAGAGGGTACTCAAAAATTGATAGTTATTAATGTTACTAATGAACTTAGATAGGACACAAGGTGCATGAAACAGGTTACATTCTTGGTATTATCTAACATCTGTTTTACAAAGCTCTGTGAGTTTTACAACCAAACTGGCAATATTTTACACTTATTTCCCCCAATATTGAATTCTCAGTTCCCAAAAAAGGAGTCATATTTATTATAACTAAGATCGCTAACTATAAGGTTGAGAGAATAAATACAAGTTCTACCTCCTTATCAAATGTCCCAAATTTTCAATCTAAGACACAGAAAAAGATAAATGATGGCATTGACAGTTTCCAATCCAAATAATTTTTTCTCTTTTAGAACTAGAAAGATTTTCAAAGAAAATAGAAAAATACCCAATAAATAAGATAGAAT